AAGTACTTCCCACATTTCATCATGAAGAGCACAAAGATGTGCCTTCATCCGGATCCTCCAGTCATCAAACTAAAGATCTGAAAACATAATATTCTTGGAAAGAGAGTGATCCATAATAAGAGATTAAAACATAGGCTAAAAAGAAACAAATTGATCTCTGTTCAGCAAGTAACCTAAGAGATTACAAGAACAAGAAGGCTCTGATACCACTTGTTGGTCCCGGTTATACTGGATACAGTCTAGAGGGGGGTGAGTAGATTGTATTGGATTTTAACTTTTTCAAGTTAAGAAACTGTTTTCACAGAATAGCTTGTTCTATTGGCAGAACAGACTTGTAGCGGATGGTATTCTGGTAGGGGTTCTGTCTGGTCAACCTCTAAGAGATGCAAAGGCAATAGGCCTTTTGTTAACTCACAAGACACGTTGTGCTGAACACAGAGACCAAGTCTTTGGAGTTAATCAGTTTAAAGTAGGTGCGAGAATTAGAAGTGGTAAGTAAATGACACCAGGGATTTTTATACTGGTTCAAGGAACAACGTGTTCCTCTAATCCACTGTTCCACTAAGCTTGTAAAAACACATATTACAAAGCCTTAGCCCTAGCACTTAAGAAGCTCTCCACGTCTTCTTCAAGTCGAGATGTCTCCTAGGATGCACTTCCTGGCTTCCTTTAAGACTGGTCCTTTCACTGAGCTTCCTTGAAGTATACTCATTTCACTACTCCAGTTACTTGGACGTCCTTCTTGTTAAAGAAGAGTTCCTTGTAAGAACAGGGGTTTCTCCAATTTGCTTCGTCACAAGCGATGTGTATATGAAGTGTTTGAAGAGTTGAAGAACTGTTGGAACTTTGCTCTCGTTGGAATATGAAGATGTGAGAATATTATCTTTCCAACCGAAGCTTTTCTTATTGAGGAAGATGGAGTTGTAGTCTCAAGAAAGCTTGTGCATTTTTAAAGTTTGAATATGTTGTTCGAGCAAGAGTTGAGCAAAGTTATCCGGTTGTTCTTCGAGTAGTATCTTATATATTGGGATTGTCTTGCCGTTGGAGGAGGAAACAACTTCATTAAATGCGCGTACAGTTGACTTGACCAGTAGGACCCGGTAAAGTTGGTGAGTTGCTATTTTGGGATAAAGTTATCCTGGATATCGGCCAATCATCAGCTTCAACTATTCAGCATACGGGGCTCATTAAATGAGCATTTAATGCACGTACTATAGCTTTTCCGTTGAAGTCTTTTAGCCGTTGAGGGAATCTTCCGTTGAAGTTACCGGCGTAGATAGATTTATGAAAATTCTCCAAGTGTCAGGCCTTCTGGTATATTTGAACAGAGAGTCAATCAGAGAGGGCCTCGAGCACTTCTTTTGGATATAAGCTACCAGAACATCACGAGCACTTCTGTTGAAGTAGAGGCTAACAGAAGGACTTGGGTATCTTTGTTCTGATGGAGTCCAACAGAGAACCAGGAGGTCTTCTGTCCAAAAGGTGAAGCAACAGAGAGCCAAAAGGTCTTTTATCCCGTCGACTATTCTAAGAATGCTTACAATTAGAAAGAAAATTGTAATACACGATTCTAAAGGGGTACTCTAATATCCTAATTAATATAGCATCATCAAAATCTAAATACATTTATTCATTACACGAACCCATAACAATTCACAACTTAAAGTAGCAAAGGACCGATATTCAGCTGCAGCAGATGATCTAGAGACTGTAGGTTGTTTCTTAGTTTTCCATGATACCGAAGAATTACCCAAGAAAACAATATAGTCGGTTAGCGAGCGTCGACTCAAAGGACACCACCCAATCAGAATCACAAAATCCACGGGGAGACAAATCAGAATCGGCTTGAAGAAATATCCATTGTCCTGGGCTACCCTTCAAGTACCGCAAAACATGAATGTCGTCATTCCAATGATATGTGCGAGGTGCTTGCATGATTTGTGCGAGGACATGAACAGAATAGTATAATTCAGGTATGGTCTGAGTCAAGTAGATTAATTTTCCAACAAGCCTCCTATACTGATCAAGATTAGAAAGAGGGACACTAGTAGATAGAGCTAGTTTCTGGTTTTGTTCCATGGGAAAAGGAGAGGGCCGTGAACCAGATAATCCAAGCTCTTCTAGAATATCAAGTGTATATTTTCTTTGGCACAGAAAAATGGCAGACGGACTGCGAGCCACCTCAATGCCCAAAAATTATTTAAGATGACCAAGATCTTTTATGGGAAAGAATTTAGCAAGATAGGCTTTTAGTTGAGCAATTTGAACAGAATTCGAGCCTGCAATTAAAAGATCGTCCACATATACAAAGACACACAAAAATTGTGAATTATGGACCATGGTGAAAAGAGAATAATCAGCATACGATCGTTGAAAACCATACGCTTGAAGCGATTCACTAAGTTTAGTGAACCAACATCTCGGTGCCTATCGGAGTCCATAGGGAGATCGCTGAAGTCAACACACTTACCGAGAATGGGAAGTAGAAAATCTAGGGGGCGGATACATATACACTTCTTCATCAAGAGCACCATGAAGAAATGCATTATCCACATCCATTTGATGCAGTTCTTAGTTCTTAGAAGCGGCAACACTAAGCAAGATACAAACAATAGTCATTTTAGCGACCAGAGCAAACGTCTCATGGTAATCAATCCCTTCAACCTGACGATTAACACAAAAAACCAGACGAGCCTTGAACCGTTCAATTGACACAGTGCTATGATATTTGATTTTATAAACCCATTTAGAATGAATAGGATTTTTATTAGGTGGCAAATCAATCAAGGTCCAAGTCCCATTTTTTCAAGAGCATCAATCTCAAGCTGCATGGCCTTCCTCCAACGTGGATCACGGACCGCTTCTCGATACGTGGTGGGTTCTTTTTCATGAGCAATTGCTGCAAGAAAAGGTTTGTGGTGGTGTGAAAATTTATCATAATTTACATAACAAGAAATGGGATAGAAACTACCTGAAGACACCGACGGAGAGCGTGAAGGAGGTGGGTCTACTTGTGTGTCATTAAGTTGTACATAATCCTTTAAACGGGACGAAGGAATTTTCTGCCGCCTGCCTCGTCCAAGAGGAGAATGATGCGTGTCCATTTTGGAATTGTCAGGATTAATATTACATGTAGGCTCCATGATTTCTCGAAGAACATGGGGGGTTTCTGACACAAACATCTCAGGCCCATTTGACCATGTACAGTGTCGGCAAATAAATGCTCATCATGCATGCAAAGTGGGTCAACGGCTGCACTTTGATGGCTGCCGCCCACTCTCGTCTGTATCTCTTGTGCGTTCTGAATTGCTTCGTCCTCTTCTGCGAATGCATGGCGCAATGGATCCTCACGCCCTTCAACAAATGATTCATAGTTCCCAACTGGATGATCAAAATTTTGTGGAGTAAAAGGAAATATATTTTCCACAAATTTTAAGTCACGAGAAACAAAATGTTTCTCAGATTCCAGGCCCATTACTTTCCAACCGCGTTGGGAATATGAGTAGCCCAAAAATATACATGCGCGTCCTCATTCCCCAAACTTGTCTTTGTCTTTCGATGTCACATAACATAGACAACCAAAAGTGCGAATATGATCATAAGAGGGAGGAACTCCATACAATAATTTGTGGGGTGATTTTCCATTATTCAACAAAGATGGGGTACGATTTATCAGGTAACAAGCGGTTAAAATACATTCTCCCCAGAAGCGAATGGGCAAATGTGCCTGAAACCAAAGTGCCCTGGCCACATTTAAAATATGACGGTGTTTTCTTTCAACCCATCCATTTTGTTGAGGTGTTCCTACACACGAGGTTTGAAATAAAACACCGTTCTTTGAAAAATAGGACTAATGGATAAGATTTTCCGTCCCATTATCGGCTCTAACAATTTTGATATTTTTATCAAATTGATTCTCTAACAATAAGGGACGTTGGCCGACTGCTTGGCCTCCATCTGAGCCAACCTCCTTTCCAGCTGGGCGATGACCTCGTCCCGGGGGTCCCTATCGGCCGCAGCGGCGCCCGGCTGGTTCCTCAGGCGCTCGTTGTGAGCCGCGTTGATCTGGTGACGCGCGTCATCCTCGTGCAACTTCCCCTTGCCCTTGTCCGGGCGGGGCTGGTCCGCTGTCCGGGACACAGACCCCAAACTTTCCCTTGGCGAGCCAGGACGAAGATCACCAATCCGTCCCGCCATCCTCTCCGAAACCGGACGACGGCGCGTGTCACCTAGCCTATTAAAGGCAGAGGCTTTTCCACGCGCTGGGGTCTGCCCGGGCCGAAGAGGGGAAGCAGGGTGGGAGTGGGACGACGCCGTGTCCTGGGCCACAACCCCCTCATTGTTGCCTATCTGGTCGGCCAGTGGTTGGGGATGAGGAGGTGGAGTGACGTTTCCCCCGGTCCTTGGCAAGAGTGCGCTGAGGACGGTGGGATTCTGAGCCAAGCTGGCGATGATAGCTGACAGTGCGGCCTGGACCTGAGGATCCACGGACGGAGAGGCCGCGGCCGTAGGCTGGGCCGGGGCGTGGTCCGCTTTCTCAGCTCGTTTCTTTTCCAGGCCGAGGCGGGCGTCGGGGACTCCGCCGTTGAGTTGGTTGCGGAGGTCCGTCGTGAGGTTGAAGGCCTCCTGGAAGAGGTCCCCTCCGCCGACCTGGTCGGCCATGGCGTCCTCATCGTGCTCCCTGGGCTCTTGGTCCTCAGGGATGACTTTGCTGACGAGGTTGCGGTTTGACTTAGTTCTCCCCATGATCAGTGGTTAGCTGTGCTTGGTAGCGACGAAGGGTGCTAACTTGATTGTTCTAGCTCTCAACGAGAGCACCAAATGATAGAGTATATCTCTTAGATTCTAGAGAGAAGTGAGAGCTAGAGAGAGAAGTGCAATAATATGCTTCAATAGAATGAATTTGTAACCCCTATATCTACTCCCAAGGGGAGTATTTATAGAGAAAATTAGGGTTGGGCTCCCAAGCCTTGGACTTGGGAGGCCCATTTACAACTGGACCGCTACTGGGCCGGATACAAAGCCTCTAATGGGCTGTACAAATGAGCAAGTATAGAATCCGATTCTGGGAGGTCTTCGTGGCCGACGAGGGCGCGGCCGACGAGGGCACGGCCGACGAGGGCACGGCCGACGAGGGCACGGCCGACGAGGGCACTCGGGTTCCTTGGACTCAGGACCACAATCCGAGTTGGCTTCTTCTCGGCCGACTTTGCTCAGTTTTGAAAGTTTGCTCATACTCAGTATGTTTGACCTCAAAGTACCATAAGTGGCACTATTGAGACCCAGAAGAAAATCATGCACCTTCTCTTTTTCTACTGCCTCGCGGAATTGTTTCTCCAATTCACACGAGCAACGCCAACACTTGCAATGCGGTATGTTCCGATATCCTGAAAAATCATCCCACAATGTTTTTAGGCGACCGAAATATTCAGTGACTAGTGACTGAAGACCCACCTTGCTTACATGCTTGAAGTGCCTCCTTAAGCTCGTGAAAACGCATCGCATCGGGCACCTCGAACCTGGTTTTCAGATCTTCCCACATCTCATACACTGAATCCACATAAGCAATTGTCCCACGAACCGAAGGATCCATGGCCGTCATCAACCACCCGACCAACATTGAGTTCACGGTCAGCCAGTCCTCCTTATCTTCAGCACCTTCCGGAAGCAGGATTGATCCGTCAAGAAAACCCACTTTTCTTTAGCGCAGAATGCATTTCTCATTGCCCTCGACCATTCCCGATAGGTCACTTCCCCCTTCAGCACAAGTCCGCATATGTTAACTCCTGGTATATCGGAGCTTGAAAGGTAATACGGAGAGGAAGGGTCATTGATTTTCCGTCAGTATTCTTTCAACCCAAAAAAAATGCAGGGCTTTGTCGGTGTCATTTGGTCATTCGCATTTGCTGGAGTCGTCATACCTTCGTCGCTGGTTGGTAGTGCGCAGAATTATTGTCACAAGCCACAAGGCTCTGATACCATGAAGAGAAACAAGTAGAAAGGAAAGATTGTTTCTATTATTCGATGATCATTTACATGCATACGTACAAGGTATATAAATATACTTTACACATGTCTAGCTATAGAAAAGAATATTCCAGAGAGTAACCATAAGCAACAAAAAGGAAAGAAAATAAATACTATGCCTACGGTACTAATTGCAAATATTACAAATAAGGAAAAACAATATGGACAAGAATCAATCAATCCGCACAGTATGCGCAACTAGCTAGCACAAAGCCTCTTGACGCGCTCCCAAAATTCATAAAGTGATTCATCATCACCTTGTTCAATATTGCTTATTTGCTTCTTTAAAGATGATGAGACGGATGCGAGATAGTACCTTTCCAAGAAGCATTTCTTCATAGTCTCCCATGTTTCTATACTTCCCGAATGAATATAGAAAAGTCAATCCTTTGCGGTGTCCTTCAGAGAGAATGGAAAAGCCCTCAGTTTTATTTGTTCTTCGTTTACACCGTTTGGACACATGCTTGTGCAAACGATGTGGAATTCCGACAAGTGTTTATTTGCTCGGTCGGATCTTCCCCTCTTAGGTCATGGAAGGATGACAGTAGATGAATGAGCTCAGACTTTAGCTCAAATGTATTACCTTCATTGAGTGTAGGGAAGGTAATACACAATGGTTGTTGATTGAGATTTAAAGCTGTGAGCTCCCTTAGTGTTCTCGTCTCGAGAGCCATATTTGATGGTTCTCCGGATTCGCTAGAGCTAGAGCTAGCGTTGGATGAATCTCTGGTAGATAATTCCTCCGAGTCGGTACTTGAAAATTTACTTTTCAACCGCTCGAGGGTTTGTTCTATTTACGGGTTTGATTGGTAAGTAATCTCGCTTATAGAACGGGTTTTTACCATATACTCATGTAAGCTCAAAAAATAGAAAAGTAAGAACTCTTTATATTCTATTTATTTATTTATTTTTATTTTTCTTGAAATGAAATTAAAGAAAAATTATTGTCTTTCCTCGGTAACGGTGCCAAATTTGACGAGAACTTTGTCGTGGTGTGCCTCAAAATAATAATCAATACAACAATTATACTTAGTATAATGGATTAAGGTTCGTGTCCACAAGGAAAGGAATACTTCTCTTTTAAGTAACTAGTAACAGGGGGGTTAGATTGTCGATGAACTTAAAGTATATTAAACACTAAGATGAACGACTGGTGTGTTTTACTTAATTGAGATGAAGACTCGGCTTTACTTATATCCACTTAATGAAATGTTTGTCGATGCCGGTTATATTTTTAACTATCTTCCTCTTGAATACTCAATCGAGAAGTATATCCAATTCATTGAGGGTAGTTATTAATAACGAGACGTGTTCATTAATAAAACTTACTATCGAGTCAATATAGAACACGCGATGTATATTAACCCGATAGTAGCAATAAAATTGAGATGAAAACGATTGAGATTGATAACCTCAACAAAAGTTGTTTATTGGTTTAATCAATATAACTAATTCCCCTTAGATTATTAACCATGAAATGCATGCATTAATAATTCAAGTTTACTACCGTGAAAGGACAAAACGATTAACAAGCGTATTCGTCGATCAATTCTAGTAATAATTAATATATGAAAAAACTATTTGATTCTTTAAGTAATGTTCAAAATATTAATATGAAATATGAATAGGAATTAATTAATATTTAGGGAAGTTGATTAAACAAATAACTCACAACTTACAAATCATTAAGCTTCAATGTACCAAAACCAAGATGGAAGAGTTTAACTCCTCATTTAGAGACTAAACATACTAAAAATATAAAGAAAGTACTTGACTAAACTGAGCTTAGAAGTATATAGGAATTGGTGAATTTAATGTGAAAGAAAAGGGGTGTATTTATAGGTGTTTGGAGGTGACAGTGTTGTGTACCTGTCCGGGTATTTAGGGTATTCGATCGGGTACCTTCAACAGCTTCCTGGAAGGTGTAAAATAAGGGAATACCCAACCGGGTATGTCGGTGTACCTGATCGGGTATCAACCGATTTTTCCAGATTTTCAGCCATGTTCCAATGTTCTTCCGAATTTAAGTTTGACGTTCAATTAAATATTCTCAAATCTTTAATTGATTTTCCCCCTTTTGCACATTCTTTGGTCTCTAGGATCCATCCTTTGATCCTTTTGATGATTTTGACATTCCATAAGCTCAAGATAATCCTAATCTAAACAAATTACATAATATTTAACAAACCAAAGTATTACACCAAAAGTGTGTAATTTCCAAAATAACAAACTACAAAACTAATTAAAATTTCAAACATACACATGGAAATTACAAGAGTATCATACTTGTAAAAAAATTATGATGCATGGTGTCCAGTCGGCCACCACGGCCACGTGAACCAGAAAATGAAGGGCCCTTAGCAAGGTTGGCGGTGACAGGAGTGGGAGAAGACTCGGATTCTTGGAGCAGTTTAAGTTCACAATTAATGAGATTTTCATGGAGCCTAGTAAATGTGATACACGTCTCATGACCTTCAACACCATCAATAACAGGTTTGTGGCCATCATCAAGACCATTAAGAATGGTCTCGATAAAGTCTTCATGATCCAATGGTTTTCCAATGAGAGCTAATTCATGAGCAGCGGTTTTAAGAAAATGCATATATTTTTGATGGTTTTAGAGCCTTTGGTATATTTTTGGAGTTGAGACTTGAGTTGCTTAATGTGTCTACGAGATGGTTTGGCGTATACAGAAGAGAGAATATCCCAAGCATCTGTCGTGATCTTGGCATGTGTGATAAGAGAGACAAAGATGATGTGAGAGTGCCGATGAGAGCACAAAAAATGAGGTTATCCTGACATTACCAAAATTGACAGAGATAAGAGGTTTGTGAGACTCAGAGGTATTGGGAATATGGATATCAGTAGAGTGTGGTCATAGGTGGTTTCAATTTCATCGAAAGAAGAAGGTGGAGCCATGGTGGGTGAGTAGGGAGGCCGCAAAAAAATCTAGATGGGATCGAAGGCTCTGATACCATGTAAACAATTACTTCGTATGATGAAGGTTTTTGTATTGCATTTTCATTTGAAGTATGTATGACTATTTATATATATAGGGATACAATGAACTAACTATTAGATAAGATTTGAATCAACAATAATTAAATACATTAAATAAATATGATTATGATTGATCTCCAATAGTGGCAACTCTCATTCACAATTATAATGTTGTTAGATAAAAACCAACACTCTGTTTCAATGAAGATGTATTTCTTGATTCAAAAAGTACACGTAATACACACACACAATGGAATACATATATAAATATGTATACTAAAATCTTATGAAGTGCGTAGTAATATTTATTTAAATATAAAATCATTATAATACATATTTTGTTCTATTAATAAATTATATGCCCTTTAATGTAATTTCATAATATCCGGGTTTACTCTATTCAACTAGTAATTTATATTCATCACTTCAAAATCCAATTTTAGACAATAATTTCTGATTGAGACAATAACCCATAATTTAAACATTAGCATTCAGTTTCAGACTTTAAGCTCATTGTGACAAACATAGCCTAAATGAAATTATTTTGATGGTTTGGGCTAGAATGGAGTTTATTTGAGTTGGGGGTGAGCATTAATCATTCTGTACTAGTATAGGGCCAATTTGGAATATTTTAAAAAGCATGGAATATATAAATAAACCATATAACAACATATTTATTCAAAAATACACATGGAGTATAAAATATTTTAAAAAATCACAATTACAAATATATTGTAATTATTGGGTCAAAATAATGGATTTGCGGGAGCCCCTGTTGCCCTCCCCTAAATGAAAATGGGCAATGACGCCGGTACCGGCAGTACTGTGAAAGGCGGCAAGACAGTGGAAGAATGCCAGCGCATGATTCAGAAGAGCCTCAGAAGTAAATATCTGCCTGCTTTCACTGTCCTTTTAAGTTTTACCCCTCTTGATTTTCAATCTGTTATAGAAATGCGTTTCCTCCTGTACACTCCAGCTCCGATGGTGAAGTTTCTGAGGGAGCGTGTAGAGAAAGCTGGATGCGGAATGGGTGAAAATTTCTTCAAGGCTATACGCTGTGACCAGAGTGTTGGTGGTGGGTATGCTCCAGGCGAAGGGGTAAATCATCCTCTTCTCATCCATCATACTAGTGGAGTAGTATTTAATCTCCACTGTTTCATTTAGGTTCCCTTTGGTTGGTAGCTACAATCGGCAATAAACTGAACAAGTAACTTTTCCCTTTTTTTGGCTTCAATTGATATTGCAAAACATTTTTCCGTGAGAAAACCCAGTTTAGTCACCGATTTCTCTCACCAATCACTCGGGGACGCATAATGATCTCAGTTTCTACAGATACCAGTTGTTTATTTTTCTAGCAGCCTTTATCCCAGATCACATTTTCCCTAAATTTATGTGGGTAGATACAAAATAAAATGGATAGAATCCGGAGGAGAAGGCTTTTGAAGGAGTTATGAATAGAATGTTTTCTCAAACAAATAAATGTGATTGAAGTGACATACTATCACATCAATTGTAACTTTCAATTTTTACAAAATGTCAAAATCAAGATATAGACTTGGCCATCAAAAGTCCTCCAACCAAACAAACCCTAAGGGGTGCAATGGTTGTACTCTTGTTGAAGAATTTTGCCGCAGATTCCGGCAACCAGCGGCAGGCCGGACGGAGGCGGCAGCTCCGGTGGCTGGGTGCTGGCCTGCAGGGGTATTCTTGCTCAACCTTTTTGGAGAACTTTAAAAACGTCCTCTTATTTTTGCACTGCGTCCTTATGTTACTTATCTCTAGAAAATAATGTTTGCATGGGGTGTGGATTTGCTTCCCCCCCCAGATAGTTGTATGTAGTAACCACATGAACATTCAAGATGAGGTGAACCAAGTAGTCATCCATGCACTGATTCACGCATATGATGACTGTCGTGCTAATATTGACTGGACAGATTGTGCTCATCTTGCTTGCAGTAAGGTTTGTCATCTGTACATTATTATCTTATATTTATGTATCTTTATTTTATTCATTTTATCTTACTTTTTTTTTCCTTTTCTTGTCCTCCTTCTCTTTTTGGCATCGATATCATAGATCGATTCATGTTAGCCGACCCCAAATTCTTTTGGGATTAAGGCTTGAATGTTGTTGTCGGTTGAAATTTGAATTTATACCAACTTTCCTTTCAACTCATCTTCTGTAGATTAGAGCTAACCATCTCAGTGGTGATTGTCATTACAAAAGGGAGTTCCTTCGAGGCAATTTAAAGATAAGAGGTCATGAACAAGTGAGTTATACCCCTCAATCTCAGATTGTTTGTCCTGTTTCACCATTTTAGTCTTTTCCCAAGGGTTGACCTCATACCTATTTGGCAAATGTAACCAATTTAAAAGAGAAAACTACCCCTACTTTTATACCCTTAATTACTTTTTACCCAAAAGTTTGGTTTGTGCGTGTAGTTTGTGCCTGGCTGGGAACGGTACTTGGAGCTATACGAATGCAAATTGCCGTATATACTAAATAAATTACTCCATTTTCCTTGGAAAATTTTGGATGACGGTCCGTCTACCTTATCTTTTTGGTGATTACTTATTCTTATTTAATCAAACCAAACCCGCCACAAACATTCTAAATTTCTAATGCAAGCAAATATATAGCGGTTACAATCGAGGGACCTATGTCAAGCAAATAATGAAGCCATGGCAATAATCATATAAATGATAATAATATAAAATGTCTAATATATTACTCCCTCTGTCCCCTTTTAAATGTCATGGAAGAGGGTGGCACGAGTTTTAAGAAAACTAGGTTTGTGTGGTTGATATTAATAGACAAAGTAAGAATAAAGTAAGAATAAAGTAAGAATGATTTTGAGCCACACAAACTTTACCAAATGAGGTATGGGACAATTAAATAGGGACATCCCAATCTGTTAAAATGGGACATTTAAAACGGGACGGAGGTAGTATGTCAAAAAACCATACCAGAAACAATTTTACAAACCAGACCAGATCTTCAAAGTTGTCAAACATTCTACGCCAAGAAAACGTCTTCTAGTTTTGGTGCACACTACTCCCTATTAGTTAGTTTATACTAGTATTATGTATTAACCTTGTCCTTCCACCGTAACTTTTGAAGGAGTGCGTGAGACGACGAGTGATAAAGGAGCTGAAGCCTCACTTCAGTGAAACAGCTGCCCAAGATGCTATGGAAGCCGTGTGGGAGACTTGCTATAATGATACTGAGCCCTTTGATAGAGCTCCATAAATTGTGCATGTTGTACTTCATAGAATTAAATGCTTTTGACATAGGCCTTGTTTGGTAAATGTTTGTTAGCTGTTGCTGGTAGCTGGTTGTGTCAGCTGTTGCGAAACAGCTAGTTGTGTTAGCTGTTTTGACCGACTGGTTATGTTGGCTGATTATAAATAACTGTTTGGTAAAATTGGCTCTTTCGAAATGGCTGATAGAGTGTAAATTGAACCAGCCAAATGAAGAAGCTGCTCCCCTTAGCTTCTTCCACAATCCATTTTTTCAGCTTTTCAAACTCAACAAGCTAATTTTAAAAGCCATTTACCAAACATTATTATTAGCTTCTTTGACTAATCAAACAGTTGAAATGGGTCAAACAAGCTAAAAGCTGGCTGATAAGCCATTTGCCAAACATACCCATAATGTGAAACGTTTAATAGCGGATATGCAAGCTCTTGCCTTCCCTTTTGTTGGATGAGAATATGGGATTGCTTATTCCTTTTCCGTTTGAAGTTAAGTTGTTAGAGTTGTTCTATTCTTTTTTCTGTTTTCCCCGGTTCTAACTTCTAAGGCTAAAAACAAATAGCTGGTTTGGGACCGAAATCAAACCGAAACCGCCCGATTTGATCCCAAATAGGTGAATCGGGAGTGAGTACACCTCTTGGGCTGACAGGGCTAGCCATGGATCCGGTCTAGTCCGACCGGTCTGGGAACTTGCCCGGCCCGCTACTGTGCGGGACCGGCCCGACCCGCTACTGTGCAGGACCGGCCCGACCCGGGTGACCGGTACCGGGCTTAGGCCCGGCCCGAGGGGGTAACCGGGGCGGTTCCGGGACTCCAAAAAGGTGAACCGGCCGGTCCGGGCCCTGTTAGTTTTTTTTTTGTTTTTTGGGTTTTGGCTGGGTTTAGGTGGGTTGGGCTGGTTGTTTCCGAGGGGTTTGGGGGGTGGGGGATGGGGGGTGGGGGTTGAAATAAATAAGAAAACACAGAAAAAAATTAAACTGGAACTGGCCTGGTCCCAAATAGTGGCGGACCAGGTTCCGGACCGAAATTGGAAATTCCGGACCCGGTCTGGTCCCAAATAGTGGTGGACCTGGTTCCGGACCGGGTCCATCCTTACTTCTGCTACTATGTTACTCGCTACGAGAAGAACTTCAGTCTTCAAGTGTGTGGCCCTCCTCTATCAGATTGATCAAAGCAAAGATGCAAAATTAAGCATCGGAAATAGAGGTAATGGCGCAAGGCAGGGGCGGACCTAGGAAATTCATCTTGGGGGGTTCAAAATATTTTTTGGGAGGTGATTTTTTTTTTTGATAGGGCAAAATTTACTTTTCGTATATATATATATATATATATATATATATATATATATATATATATATATATATACACACTAAACAAATTTTGTTGCGGAGGTGGTAGCCCCCCGGGTCTCTATTACGGTCCGCCTGTCCTTCCTCACATTGTTTCGGGCATATGTTTTGTTTTCTGGTTTTTGGTTATCTTAGGGGTGTAGACGCTTAGTTTATAAGAAATTACTTGCAAAATTTTAAAAGTTCGGGATTCTAAAAGTTTAGGTATATTCAATGGAAGTAGGGATGGATTCGGGTCGGGTCGGGTCCGGGCCGGGCCTAGGCCCGGTCGGGCCGCCGGTTCAAGAAAAGTGGGCCCGGGACCGGCCCGAGGGTTGGACGGGTCCGGTTCGGGCCGGGCCACCCGCCCGGGTCACGGGTCGGGTCCGATTCGGGTCGGGCCGGTTAATTTTTTTTATAATTTATATTTTATAGTTTATAGTTTTATACGAGTATTAAAAACAAACTTCAATTGCATTTATTTGAAATGAAATAGGAACTACATTTGAAAATTAAAACAAACTTTAAGAGATAAACATTTTGAAAATTGTAATCAATCGGAACTTCCCGCACCTCCCGATCCTTTGGCTTTGTCACATGACTTCATATGCTTGATTGCCATCCCGAATCCGCCAGAAGCCCCCATGATACATTTTTTTTCGCACCATTTGCAAATTGCGTACCACATCCCGGTCTTCGGATCCTTCTGCTTATCAAAATTATACCGTATAATGGCATCTTGATTTTCCATCTTAACTTCTTGGAGAAGAGAATTAGAGAGTAGATATATAATATATTGGAGAATAAGAGAATTAGAGAGTAGAGAGTTAAGAATAGGATTTAGGAAGAATTGGAGAAGAGATGAAAAAATGTTTAAGATTAGGAGTATTTATAGGTTTTCTTACCCCCCACGCCCCCCCCCTACCAGCCACCCCCCCCGGACCCCCCCTTTACCCCACCCAACGGCTATAAAGCCGTTTGGGTTGTCCCCAGCCCCACCCCCAACGGATAGTAGCCCAACCAACCAATTTTTTTTAAAAAAAAAGAGGCCCGAACCCGGGCCCGGGCCCGACCCGGGCGGGCCGGGTCACAATAATCCTGAACCGAGCCCGCCCCGCCCCTTCCCATCGGTTCGGGTCCATACCCGGTCCCGGACCGCCCGACCGGGCCGGTCCCGGGCCCGCACAGTGCCGGGCCGGGCCGGGTCACGGGCCGGGTGGCCCGAACCGAATCCAACACTAAATGGAAGTAATAAATTTTATACTTTTATTAATGTTCTTTCAACAAAGAACATTTTCATATCATTTTTATATTATACTCCCCCTGACCCATAAAACTTGGCCAAATTTCCTTTTTGATTGTTTCAATATTTTTTGTCATTTCCATTTAAAGTAAGGAATATGTGGCTAAAATTGTTTCTCTCTCCTCTGCACGAATTTCAACTACACAATTTACTTTATTAATCTATGTTATGGATGGACTCGGGCCGAGTGGCCTGACCCGGAACCGGTCCGGGACCGGTACTGTTCCGGCCCGGCCCGACCCGGTGGCCCGATCAGTGACCGGTCCGGGTAGGCCCGACCCGTGGGTATTCCGGTCCGGGCTTGGGTCACCCAAAACAAGGCCCGATTCGGGCCAAAATTGATTTTTTTTCCAATTTTTTTAAATTTTCGGATTGGGCTGGGTATTTTGGGCCATTTGAGCCTAGGCCCGGCCCGGGCCCGACCCGGCCCGAGTCCAACTCTAATCTATGTGTAAGTCAATTTTGGCCAAATTTTGTGGCATGGAGGGACTAAATAATTTCCAGTAAATATATACTCGTATTATTGATCAAAGTTTTGAATTCAGCTTATTATTTTGGAGTGGAGGTAGTATAATTGTATTCAATGTAGACTTCTAAAAGTCTTAAAAAGTTTAGGCATATTCAAACTTCCATTCATTCTTATACTCTTCTAAATTCATGAATTCTCATGAACTTTTAACTCATCATTAATACATTAATTCTCTCCATTCTCTTTACCAAAAATTTTTGTGGACCTTTTCTTTTGTCTTTTACACATCAAGAGTGTGCATAGATCGGTTCAAAAATCTGATTAAATTTGACTAATCATTTACCCGAGATCACAAACTGCCCAACCGATCATAGAATAATATTGTGTTGGAAGATGAGTACCAGAATGATCTCGATTAGCAAGGTTTGAAAATTAAATTCTGAAATTTTATTACTTTACAAAAACTAAAATTGAACAAGAAGATTCTATATATCATCTTATTAAGAATTATAAAAAGAGGTTTTCTATATATCATCTTATTAACAAAATCGTAGGGGTGGGATTGGTTCGATTCTTCGAAAGAAAATTAAAATCCATTTGAAGATCCGTTGATCCAATATCGATTTTGCTCTAGAATTCTTTTTAAGAACCGATATAACTCATATAAGAATCAGTAGTATCATATCAGTGCAATTGTTGTATGTTGTCAGTTAATAGTTAAAAAATAAAAATGTATTTAACCATTATTGTTTTCATCGTTAAACCGCTAACACATCAAAATATATTATCAAATAAATAAATATTTAATTGTAAATACGTAAACAAATTTTTACAAGATATAAAAGAAAACAAAACAATTATTAAGAAGAAAAGCTCGATGGCACCTATGCCCGTAATGCATGTAGCAATGAGTGTAACACTTGTGTAACGATTAATATTCTTACTCATTGAGTTGTGTAATATAAAAATTAATTATAAAGAGACCAAAATTGTTAATCACTCTCCCCATTTTGAGTTTTCTAGAATGAAAAATTCCGTTAATATTACTTTTTTAAAATGTGGTGGACAAAAATATTATTTAGTAACTATTAGTTACTCCGTATTATAATTGTGTTCAAATTTATATCATAGTAACTATATGTAAGTTACTACGATGTAAACTTTGAACACAGTTATAGTTACTAATAGTTACTACGTATTAAGTATTTTTTTGTCCATCACTCTTTTATTAGTAATATATAAGGAAAAACCCCAAATAATAAATGAGGTCTAATTTATAATTTAGGCCTCACTTATTCTTGTAGAACTTCACATTGCTAGATGAATCACATTTGTTCATTTATTTATGGGAAAATGGAAAATAATAATCTCAACTATTACCGGTCTTCTTACAATATTCTTACCTAATTGTAATCTAGGAATAATCCTTCGTTTGCACTTCATCTTTTTTCATCGGTCCTTGACCGGTTCATGAACTGCTTTTACAATTTATTTTATTTTCTTTGCCAAACATGAAACTATACATATCATCTTTCACAAATTTTCTCAAAACAGTCCCACATATTATCTTTTCTTTTTTCTCCCTTAGGTTGCCTGCAACACTGGAGTGAAAAATCCATAATTAAGCTTTACACCCAAAAAACATCTCCAACCCAAAGTATACCATGGTGCCAAAGTGGGATGGGGCACCTTTCGGGTGGGATTTCATTCTCCAAAGGGTTGATCCCCGATCCCAATGCCCCGACCCGACATAGCATGTGGGAGGATTTAAATCACGATGACTAAACCCTAAACCCTCCTTCTCCTCCTCCTCCTCCTCCTCCTCAACCCTCCTCTGCCCCCTCCCCCTTCCCCCTCCTCTTCCTCCTCCCCCCTCCCCTCCTCCTCCTCCTCAAATAGGGTACCCGGTCCCGGGAATAAGAAAGTTGGGATCGAAACTGACTGGTCTTGATTAGTCCCAACGACTAGTTTGACTAATTCATTTCCTTTTCCATATTGGTTGGCAACCTGAAACTCTTCACTTTAAAAATATAATTTAAAAAGGGGAACCAAACAGGAACAGGGACCGCTGAGTCATCGACCGGACCGAACACGGACTGTTGGGTCTTCGACCGGACTAGACCGGGACCGCTCAGTCATTGACCGGACAAGAACGGAACCGCTCCGCCATCGACTGGACCCAGTGGAGGAGCTAGGGGCAAGCGCCCCCGCTTCGACAAGTTTTTTTTAATAGTACTGCTTATAATATATTTCATGCCCCCGCTTCTTGGATATATGAGATGAGATGAAATGAAGCATTTTCCACCTTGCAAAGTATTGATGAAGTCTCTAAGAAGATGGTTGAACTTACAATTCACAAATCTTTTCATTTGGTC